GTTTTGTCGCAGTCAAAATATCCCCTTCGTGCATCGATCAGCTAACCAAGAAAAAAGTAATCCTGTTACATTAGAAATTGACTTCTAGGCATTCTCCTTTCCCAGCACAGACTATTTGTACAACTGATTTGCGCTAATTAGTACAATTATTGGATAAGCATGTATAAATGAACTTTTCTATAGTGATCGGAAAGCTCACTACAGTGTTTGAGCTTAAACTAGCACACGACCCCCATCTAGTGGCTAACGTGCTGTATGGCTTCATAACACAGCGTAGAGCTGGATGAGCACAGCAGGCCAGGCAGCATCAGAGGAGCAGGAAAGCTGACGTTTCTGGTCGGGACCCTTCTTCAGAACTGGGGGAGGGGGGAAAGGGGCTCTGAAATTAATAGAGAGAGGGGGGTCAGGCAGGAAGGTAGGTGGGATGGTGATAGGATAGTGTAGGTAGGGCAGTGGTGGGGATTGGTCAGTGAGGTGGGAGGAGTGGATAGGTGGGAGAGAAGATGGACAGGTTGTGGTGGGTCAAGGAGACGGGGATGAGAGGGAGGGTTGGTCATGGGATGAGGTGGGGTGGGGGTGGGAAGATTTTGAAACTGGTAAAGTCCACATTGAGACCATTGGGTTGTAAGGTTCCAAAGAGGAGGCCCAGGATGGACATGTCGTCCAAGGAGTGGGAGGGAGAGTTGAAATGGTTCGCGACTGGGAGGTGCAGTGGTTTGTTGCAAACCAAGCGTAGGTGTTCCACAAAGCGGTCTCTGAGCCTCCGCTTGGTCTCACCAATGTAGAGGAGACCACATCGGGAACAGTGGATACAATAGACCACATTAGTGGATGTGCAAGTGAACCTCTGTCTGATATGGAAGGTTTTTTTGGGGCCTGGGATGGAGGTGAGGGGGGAGGTGTAGGGGCAGGTGTAGCTCCTCCTGCGGTTGCAGGGAAAGGTGCCGGGGGTGGTGGGGCTAGTGGGGAGTATGGAGCGGACGAGGGAGTCGCGGAGAGAGCGGTTCCTCTGGAAGGCACATCGGGGTGGGGAGGGAAATATATCCTTCGTAGTGGGGTCAGATTGCAGGTGGCGAAATGGCGGAGGATGATGCGTTGAATCCGGAGGTTGGTGGGGTGATACATGAAGATTCGGGGAATTCTGTCTTTGTTCTTATTGCGGGGAGGGGGTGTGAGGGCTGAGGTGAGGGAAACGCAAGAGATGCGGTCAAGGGAGTTTGCGATCCTAGAAATACGAGGACATCTGGGATGTTCGGGAGTGGAATGCCTCATCTTGGGAGCAGACGCGGCGGAGGCAGAGGAATCGGGAATAGGGGATCGCATTCTTGCAGGAAGGTGGGTGAGAGGAGGTGTATTCTAGGTAGCTGTGGGAGTCGGTAGGCTTGAAATAGATATCAGTTTCGAGGTGGTCACCAGAGATGGAGACAGAGAGGTCCAAGAAGGAAAGAGAGGTATCAGAGATGGTCCAGGTGAACTTAAGGTTGGGGTGGAAGGTGTTAATAAAGTGGATGAACTGTTTGAGCTCCTCATGGGAGCACGAGGTGGCACCAATACAGTCATCGATGTAGCGGAGGAAGAGGTGGGGGATGGGGCCAGTGTAGCTGCGGAAGAGGGACTGGTCAACAAATCCTACAAAGAGACAGACGTAGCTTGGGCCCATGCGGGTTCCCATGGCCACCCCCTTAGTCTGAAGGAAGTGGGAGGAGTTGAAGGAACCTTCCTACATATTTATTCACAACGTGCAATGTAATTGGAGGTGCAATGTGTTTCTGTGCTATGCATCAGGGGACCACTTCGGAGATTAAATCCCCATGCATCAGAGTTTCCAAATCTCAGCTGTCTTGCTGTGAGGAGGTGCCAGTTTATGATTATCAGCTTTGGTTAAAGGCAGTCTTGATGGTTTAGTCTGTAATATCATGCAAATTCTACAAATTTCTGCAATAATTTATTCAGTGACAATGTATCCTTTTTGAACATACTTAATAGGAACATTATTTTTCAGGTGTCCATTTGAGTGGAAATACTGTCCCTTTAACATTCGTATCCCAAAGAATTGAACGCGTATGCAGGTTAACGCCTCAGTATGGTAATAAGGATATGCTTTATGGTTGGAGTCTTTCATATGAGACTTCAAATAGACACCTCATCTGGTCTGAATTATTTTGAAAAACTGGTAAATTCTCCCTAGTGTCCTGACCAATGTTTATCCCTCATCAAATAACTGATCCACATCATCCACCTCTAACATTTTGCCTTTCGCACATTGGCTGTTTTCTGAAGCTGTTAAAAAAAGATAAAATGAATCTTGATAATAACTACAATACCTCGCAACATCTTTTTTAAAAAGCAGAGAAAGACAAAAAAAAAAGCGGAGGGGAGCAGATGAGCTGGGCTCCTGAATGCTGCACTGCTATTCTGCCGTCATGTTGAACATTTTGGGACATCCTGATGTCATGAGAGGTGCTATATGAGTGTACATTCTATTTAAATAATGTAATTTATTTTGTATAATTTCCAATTTCAAATAACTGAAAATCAGAGCAGAAATATTCTCAGTACATCTGACCGGAGCAGAAATTAAAGTGTTTAGACTGGATTCAGCAGATTGCCTTAAATCTTCCAATCAAGATCAGAATTTCCAAATTGAACCCGAAAAAAAAACCTAAATAAAAACCGAAAGCACTGCGGTAGCTGTAAATCAGGAACAAAAACGGAAGTTGCTGGAAAAGCTCAGCAGGGTCCGATGACAGTTTGTCAGATGTTCTGCATGACCCGAAACATTAACTCTGATTTTTGTTTTTTTCATAGATGCTGCCAGACCTACTGAGCTTTTCCAGCAACTTCTGTTTTTGTTCCAGAGAGAAAAAAATACACTTGCCTTCCTGAGTCCTCTCAGGAGTGGGAGGATCTTTCACATCCAACTGAGTGCAGGTACTTCCAATGGGAACCCACAGGGTTTGGGCTGAAGGTATGTATGTCTGTTGAAAATGATGCTGAAGTGCTGGTGTTGGACTGGGATGGACAAAGTCAAAAATCACATGACACCAGGTTATAGTCCAACAGGTTTATTTGAAATCACAAATCTCTGAGCACTGTCCCTTTGTCAAGTGCAGTGAGAGAAGAGCATATTGTATCTTCTCCTCTGACTAATACCTGATGAAGGGGCTGCATTCTGAAAAGTTGAGAGTTCAAATAAAAGTTGGACTGTAACCTGGTGTTGTGTGATTTTTGACCTTGCTTTTTATGAGTAAGGGGATAGGTTGATTTTGAAGATAAGTTGGATAAGGGTCTAGCACGTGTTAGGCAGATCAGGGTTAGTCTGGGAATTGACAGAGCAACCAGGAAGTCAAGGCAAGTTTGTTGGGGGGGAATGGGAGCAGGTGGAGGTGGCCTCTGCTAGGATTGCAGAGGGTGATTAATTTTGATTTGATTTATTATTGTCATATATATACACCAAGGTACAGTGAAAAGTATTGTTTTGCTTGCTGTCTAGGCAAATCATACCTTACACGAGTACATCAAGGTAATAGAAGAATGCAGAATATAGTATTACAGCTATAGAGAAGGTGCTGAGAAAGGTCACCTCCAATACGAGAGGTCTAACAACGGCAGGAAGAAGCTGATGGACTGGGCTGTGTTCACAAATGTCATTTCTTAGTCTTGGGCAGGGCAGTTACCAAACCAAGCTGTGATGCATCTAGACAGAATGCTTTCTATGCATCTATAAAAATTGGGAAAAAGTCCTTATGGACATGCCAAATTTCTTTACCCTTCTGAGGAAGGAGAAGCATTGGTATGTTTTCTTGAGTATAGCATCAATGTGGATGGACTAGAATAGATTGTTGGTGATGTTTACTCCCAGGTACGTGAAGCTCTTGACCACCTCAATCTCAGCACCATTGATACTGACAGGGGTGTGACCTCCACTCTGCTTCCTGAAGTCAGTGATTATTTCCTTCATTTTGCTGACATTGAGGGAGAGATTTCTTTACACCATTGTCTGTCATTGTTTGAGATCTAATCTACTACGGTTGTGAATTTATAAATGGAGTTAGAGCTGAATTTGGCCACATAGTTACTGTGCAAGGAGTATAACTGTGTATTGGAAGTCAGTCGTATTTTGCCCAGGAGTGGGGTTCTTTCCCTATCCAAGTCAGTATTATACAAAGTCTAACTCTAACTGAAAGTTGGAGACTTTCTCATGACATCTGGGTCATTGGACAAAAGTGTAAACAGACTTGAGAGAGGTAAAGACAGTCCATTTAAAAACCTCAGGCAAAAAAATACTCATGGGTAGTTTTAAACAGTTAGCAAAATATATGAACTAACTATAAACAATGGTTTTAAATTGTATTTTGGACATTACAGGCAATGAATGGCTCTACTCCATTGAGAACACAGGAGGAATTGCATGTCAATGTCTAAGCATGGTGTTAGTCAAATTACTTTCAGCAGTTGGCTGATAAATTTCAGCCTCGTCAACTAGGCATTAGTAAAAAAAAGTCTCATTCACAGGGAGGTGTGTGGTATGTCACCATCAAGGCCAGCCTTTGTTGCCCATGGACCAAGCATTGTGCCAGGCCATTTCAGAGGGTTTCATTTCAAAATCTGCAATTTGTTTCAAGATTAGTATACTTTCACCCAACTTTCCAAAAGCGGGGGGAAACCTGTAATCAAAAATTCAGGTCCTGAGAGGAACCTCAAAACATTCACAGGGAACTAACTACAGAAACCTGCAGAATCACCCTACTGTGGTGTTGTGTCGATGTTCTGTAACACCTGGAAAGTGTTACAAAACATACATGAATTCATGTGCAGTTTGAGGCCAAATTATTTTTGTAAAGTAACTCCAGGAACATTGATCGAAAGTAGGGATTGAAACAGTATGCAAGGAGGATTGATTTAATGAATACCATGTATTTTTCTACAGGTGTCTTGTAATTATATCATAATCGATAGTGATGCAAAACTGTTCAAAGAATGCAAAAACAAAATTTGGGTTACTGGCATGTATTTTATTATGTTTCTATCTTTCCTACCTAGGGCAATAATGCAGACCCACTGAATATTAACCATGACAATGCAGCACAAATTTCCTGATGCAAGATTTTTATGTAGATAACAGAGTCAAAATAGATTGATTCATTTTACCACAAACACTGAACATACACAACAGTAATTATAGTATCTAGGTTAGATAATCTTCAAACACTGGAGAGAAACTCAGAGGCTGTTTCTTTCTCCTGAAGCAGCTCTTTGGCAGTAACTTTCATCTTTTCACAGGAGAAGTCATTGATTTTCAGACATGGCACAATATTCCAAGTTTTATTCTGGAACAAAAAAGACAAATGATTAGTATCATTGTTGTAAATAAAACCCATATCAAGAAAGAATTAAGAATTATTTCACACTAAGATCAGCCACTGTGCAGTTATGATACTGCTTTCCCTTTGTTCATTGGATCTGCGAGCCTTAACAAGGCTGGCATTTACTGCCCATCTGAAATTGCTCCTGAACTGAGTGGCCATTTCAGAGGACAGATTAATGTGAGCCACGTTGTGGGTCTGGAGTCACACTTAGGCCAGGCTGGTAAAGAGGGCAGATTTCCTTCCCTAAAAAAGTGTTGAGAACACTTGTTAATTTTTCATTATATTTATATTTTATAGTTTTTGGTTTGGCACAGTGAACTCAGAGCTGATGGTGACCATTGGACTGTGAACTTCAGATGCTTTTTAAAACAAAAAGATAACACACCTTAGTGTAGGAGGCCATGCCAGGCCTGGAAGATAACCGCAGGTTGATTCTTGTTTCAAAAGAAAAAAGTTGATAAACATTTCTGTTTGGGGATGCACTATGATCAAACAAACAGATATTTGGCTATTGACTGGGCCTCCCCAGGACACTGGTTTCTCTTTGTCAGACTGACTGGCACCAAAGTCTGAACCAATTTTGAATGGTGTTTTATTCTGAAGGACTGTGCCTATGAAAGCTACACAACAGTTTGTATTGATCTATGGTTGTACTCATTATCAACATATTGAAAGTCTGGAGAATAGATTTTCAGTTAATTATAAAATGACTATTCCTCAGAGCCTATGGGAAGATATTGGCATGTATTCGTGTCATCAGAAACCAAGCAAGATACAATCCCTTGTGTCCGGAGATTACAGATTGTAGAGTCTGCTAAAGTGAACTGCCTAATTTTTTCTTCTTTATTAGTTCACGGGATGAGGGCATTGCTGGCTAGACAGCATTTATTGCCCATCCCTAATTACCCAGAGGGCACTTCAGAGAGTCAACCACATTGCTGTGGGTCTGGAGTCACATGTAGGCCAGACCAGGCAAGGATGGCAGTTTCCTTCTCTAAAAGGGCATTAGTGAACCAGATGGGTTTTTCTGACAACCAGCAATGGATTCATGGTCATCATTAGAATGTTAATTCCAGATATTATTGAACTCAAATTCCACCATCTGCCTTGGTGGGATTCAAACCCAGGTGTCCAGAACATTATCTGGGTCTCTAGATTAACAGTCCAGCGATAATACCACCAGGCCATCGCCTCCCCAAAAGTTACATCCTTTGTTTTTTTTTTTGATTTGTGCATTAACTAGATGTACATCTTAGAGTAGAGAAGGGGCTATAATCAAAGATTAGATTCAAGTCATAGATGTTAATTAGATTACCTTAATGCTCAACTTTGCTCTGCTAAAGCTACTGTATTATTAATTTACTAAATCTCGAAGCTATAAACTGGTGCCTGGTATTAGTTATTCACAAAGTCTGATTGGGAGCCACTGGAGTCATTTGAAGGTCATTAAAGTATTTTAATTTTACTGTGTTTCGAATACCGAGGTAGGGAGGCTGATTTGACTATGTTGTCTGTCTGTATTGTAACAAGGGTACTGGTTAATCAGATGGGATTTTACAACAATTGATTTCACACAGTCACTATTTGACTAGCTTTCAGTTTTAAAGTTATGAATTGAATTTAAATTTATCAAGCTGCCATTGTCCCAAGTCCCCAAAACATTTGCCTGGGGTTCTGGGATGACTAATCTGTTGACATGACTACTTCACCTCCAACTGCCCCCATTAAGTATTTAATTAAAACAGATTAAATATCCAAATGGTACATCCGAGATATTTCACAAAGGGAAACCAGTTGCTTAACAGCTTACCTTGATTTGCACTGGGAACGAATAAACCAAGTCATTGGGAATATTATATGGGTTCCCATCAGAAATCACTCCCATGGATACCCATTCATTCTGTACAAAAAAAGTTAGTAAGATAAAACAAAGAACTGCAGAAATTTGAAACACAAAACAAGTTGCTGGAGAAGCTCAGGTCTAGCAGCATTTTGCAGAAAAAGCAGAATTAACAGAGAGTCTGGTGACCCTTCTTCAGAAGGAGGAGAAGGAACCAGTGTTTACTCTCCACACCCCCGCCCCCACCGTGCCCACCACCACCCCCAGGGCTGCTACATTCAGAACCAGTGTTTACTGCCTGCCCCAAGGGCAGCTTTATTCAGAAAGCACTTTTTTTTTTAAAAAAGAAAAAATAGACGAGGACGAGGATGAGGAGCCAAAGCGATGGTGGAAACGTGAAGGCTGAGGCTGGTCCAGTAGGTAAAGGGAGCAAGTCTAATTGCCAAACCTCTTATCTCCCTCAGCTAAGAATGAAGCAAGACTGATTAATTAAACTGCATTTACTTCAATACTAGAAGCCCAAGAGGCAGATGAACTTAAAGCACAGTTGGGAACATGGGACTTTTTATTAAATGATTTGGATATGAATACAAGAGATATTGTTAGTAAGTTTGAAGATGAACCAAACTAGGTGTAGTGGACAATGAAAAAAGGTTCTCAGTACAGCTGTTCGCAGGTAAAGGGATGACTAGTAAGTGGGAAGCTTTCAAAAATGAGGTAGAGTTAAGAGGCAGTGTGTTCCTGTTGAAGTGAAAAGGTAAGGGTGGTAGGAGTAGGAAACAATGAATGAAGATATAGAGGCTCTGATCAAGAATGAGGCAGCATATATCAGGTATAGACAAATGGGATCAAGTGAATCTCTTCAAGAGTATAAAAGGGGAGTTGGGGCATTCTCAGAGGGAAATCAGGAGGGCATTAGGGGATTCAAGATCACCTTGCCTGCCAAGGTTAAGGATAATCCAAGGAGATTCTACAAGTATATTAAGGGCAAAACAAGCAACTAGGGAGAGAACAGTGCCCCTTAAAGATCAATGAGGTCATTCTAGGTGTGGAACCACAGGAGATGGGAGATACCAAAATGAATATTTTGCTTCAGTATTTACTGTGGAGAAAGTCATGGAATCTGGGGAACCCGGAAATAAACATTGATGTCTTGAAAACAGTCCACATTATGGAAGGGGTGGTGCTGGAGATCTTATAAAGGCATAAAAGGTAGATAAATCTCCAGGACCTGATCAAGTGTGTCCTAGGATATGGAGGGAAGCTAGGGAAGAAGTTGCAAGGCCCCCAGAAAAGATATCAGTCACATCAATATTTGTAGCTATGGATGAGCTGCCAGGAGACTGGAGAGTGGCTAATATTGTGCCTTTATTTAAGAAAGGCTGGAGGGAAATGCATGGGAGCTATAGACCAGTGAGTCTGACATCAGTAGCGGTTAAGATGCTGGAGGGGGATTCGGAGACAGGATTTACATCCATTTGGAGAAGTGAGGACTCCTAGGATAGTCAGCATGGTTTTTTGCGTGGGAAATAGTGTGTCACAAATTTGATTGAGTTTTTGAGGATGTAACCATGATGATAGATGAGGGCAGAGTGGCGGGCATTGTCAAAGGCCTCATTAAAGTCCATGTAGACAAAGTTCATCATGTTAGACTAGTTAGTAAAGTCAGATCACATGGGTTTCAGGGAGAGCTTGTCAAATGGATACAAAATTGGCTTGATGGTAGGAGACAAAGACTAGTAATGGAAGGTTGTTTTTTGGACTGGAGGCCTGTAACCAGTGTTCTGCAGGGATCAGTTGTGTGTCCACTGTTGTTTGTCATTTATATAAACAAACAGCGCGAATGAGAATATAAGACGCACGGTTAATAAGTTTGTGGATGACAAAGTTGGTGGTATAGCAGAGTGAGGAAGGTTAGCTAAGATGACAAAGGGATCTTGATCAAATGGGCCAATGGGCTGAGTGACTGATTGAGTTTAATTCGGGTAAAGTGTGAGGTGTTGCATTTTGGTAAGACGAACCAGGACAGGACTTGTACAATTAAAGGTAACTCTCTGGGGAGTGTTGTGGAACGGAGACCTAGGGGTTCAGGTACGTAGTTCAGCGAAAGTTGTGTCACAGGTAGATAGGGCTATACAGAAGTCACGCCCTCCTTCATTGTTACCTATACACAATAGTCTAAGCAAAAACGAGTGGAGGTAGATATAGGGGAGATGTCAGAGGTAGGTTCTTTACTCAGAGTGGTAGGGGCGTGGAATGCATTGCTGGAGAGGGTAGTGGAGTCGGCCTCATTAGGGGCATTTAAGTGGCTATTAGATAGGCATATGGATGATAGTATAAGGTAGGGGTGGAGGTTAGATAGACCTTAGGTTTAGGGTAAAAGTTTGGCACAACATAGTGGGCCGAAGGGCCTGTACTGTACTATGTTCACCTTAAATCCATGTCTTCTAGTTTTCAATTCCCCATCCCTAAGAAAATGATATGCATTAATACTATCTATGTCCCTAATGAATTTATACACTCCAATAAAGTCACCCCTCATTCTCCTACATGCCAAGGAATAAAGGCCTATCCTGGCCAACCTCTCTCTCTAACTCAGGCCTACTAGTCCTGGCAACATTCTCTTAAATCTTCTTTGCACACTTTCCAGTTTAACTGTGTCTTTCCTATAACAGGGTGACCAAAACTGTACACAATACTCCAAGTGCAGCCTTTCCAACTTATACAACTGTAGCATAAAGTCCCAATTCCCATACTCAATGCCTCGACCGATGAAGGCCAGCATGCTAAATGCCTTCTTCACCACCCTGTCTACCTGTGACACCGCTTTCAACGAACTATGTACTTGTACTCCTAGGGCCCTCTGTTCCACAACACTCCTCAGGACCTTACCATTTACTGTACAAGTCCTACCTTGGTTTGACTTTCCAAAGTGCAACACCTCACTTATCTGTATTGAATTGCATTTGCCAATCCTCAGCTCACTTCCTCATCAGATCAAGATCCCTCTAATTTTTGATAACCTCCTTCACTATCAACAATACTTCCTAATTTTGTATCATCTGCAAACTTACTAATCATGCCTTGTACATTCACATCCAGATCATTTATGTAAATTACAAAAAGGTGCCAGGCACTGACTTGTGGCACACTAGTCACAGGCCTCCAGTCCAAGAAACAACCTTCAACCATCACCCTTTGCTTCCTGCCAGAGCTAATTTTGAATCCAATTTGCTAGCTCTCTGTGGATCCCATGCGACCCAACTTTGATGACTAGCCTGCCGTGAGGGACCTTGTCAAAGGCCTTACTAAAGTTCATATAAACAACAACCATTACCCTACCCTCATCCATCCTTTTGGGTATTTCTTTGAAAAACTCAGATTTGTCCAACATGACTTCCCACTCAAATCCATGCTGACCATTCCTAATTAGACCTTGACTATCCAAATATTGGTTGATCCTATCCCTCAGTATCTTTTCCAATAACTTGCCTACCACTGATGTCAGCCTCACTGGCTTGTGGTTCCCCGGCTTGTCTTTGCTACCTTTCTTAAACAATGGTACAACATTAGCCACTAGTGAAGTTCTAGAAGACTGGAGGGTGGCTAAAGATGAATCAAAAACCTTTAAGGGCCTCTGCAATTTCTTCTGTAGCTTCCCTCAACATCCGAGGACGGACTTGATCAGGCCCAGGGGAGTTATCCACATTAATACACTTTAAGACCGCAAACACTTACTCTCTGGTAATATGTATGTGGTTTAAAACATCTCCACTGGTTTCCCTTATTTCCTTAGCATCCATGATTCTCTCTTCATTAAACACAGAAGGAGAAATATTCATTAAAAATCTTCCCCATCTCGTGTGGCTCCACACAGACGGCCATGCTGATCTCCAAGGGCACTTATTCTCTCTCTAGCCACCCTCTTACTCTTAATATAGCTATTGCACCTCTTGGGATTCTTTACCCTTATCTGCCAGACCCATCTCATACCCTCTTTGCTTTCCTGATTTCCCCTGGAGTGTGCTCCTACACTTTTTATAGTCATCTAGGGATTCACTTGAGCCTGATAACTTAAACCCAATGTATGCCTTCTTTTTCCTGACCAGAGCCTCAAAATCCCTCATCAGCCAGGGATCCCTAAACCTGCCAGCTTTTCCCTTCACCCTAACAGGGACACACTGTCCCTGGACTCTTGATATCACAATTTCAAGATGGCTCACAAGGATGTTACCAGGACTGGAAGGTTTGAGTTACAAGGAGGGGCACAGCTCAAGTGCATAGCAAAGGTCTTTCCCTAGGGTTGGGGAGGTCAGAACTAGGGGCATAATTTTAAAGCCATGGAGAAAGAGATTTAGAAAAGGGATCTGAGAAGCAACTTCAGGCACACAGAGGAATATGGGCCAAGGGCAGGCATGTGTGACTAGTTCAGTTTGGGAAACTTGATTGGCATGGGGGAGTTGAACTGGAGGGTATGTTTCCTGTATGACTCTGTAGCAAAGCAACAGCATTAGATTTTACAGTACATGGCAATACTGTCTGCATGATATTCATGAGGCAGGGTGCAAACTGGGGAACAAACATGTTAGTGTGGGTGCAAGCAGAAAATAAAACCATCTAAACAGAGACAAAACATCTTAAATGGATGGCATATCCAATCAGATGATTCAGTCCTGGAAGTTAGTGTAAAAATAGTTCAAGTAGTTTGTTACCATACCTCAGGAGTACCAAACCAGAGGGTCCTCATATGATCAGAAATGGCCTTAGCAGCTGACATTGCACTAGAGAGTTTCCGTGCCTTAATCACGGCAGCACCACGCTGCTGAACAGTCTGTTGGCAGAGAAAAAAAGATGTTTAGTTTTCCAACTGGTTACATGTCAGCAGGTCGTGTGTACTGCTAGTAAGGGTTTTCTTGTCCACTCTTTCTGGAAGGTAGTGATAGTTTTGTTGGCTGTGGTTGCAGTGGCAATGCTGATACACGTCACAATGTCTACCATAAGGAACTAAACACGTGCAAGTCTGAACAAGAGAAAACAATGAGGTGGAAACAAACATTTAAAAACACATTTTAAAAAATAAGCAGAGAGAATCATTTCACAGCTAATTTATGAACTTTTTTTTTAAAAAAAAAAGCAAGCTCAAGTCAAGGCACATTATGGTTCAAAACAATCAACCACAGGTTGAATGGACATGTCACATGAACAAAATATTAGCCACAACTGGTTTCAAATACATGAAGGCAACAAATTGTTCAAAGGCAACATTGTTGAGAGATCAGAAAGACATTTTGGTGCTTTATTTAAAATCAAAATGCAACATTTGTGCCATAAAATGGTTTCTGGAAAGAAACATTGTTACTTTGGAAAGTTATTCTTTTTTCATGACCACTAGGAAGACAACTGCTGCATTTAGTGTGGCATTCAACGGGAAACAGACTGCAGTCACAATTTGATGCAAATATAAAAAGGTAACACTTAGCTGACACAATTCAGTAAGTGTCCAGTGCTTCAGTTAATGGTACTTTTAAAACACCCTTTGTCTGAGAGAACAGTTCTGTCACGGTTTCTGATATCCTTCATCTGTTCAGATGATTCCTTCGCTCTCCCCAATTTCAATTTCTTAAACTAAGTTGCACACAAGCACAGGTCAGGAACTGTCAAAATGAAAGAAGAAATACCCCGAATCCTCAGCAGCTTGAACATTATTTGAAGGGAGAGCAAAAGGAAGAGAGAGAGTGATAATGAATGTTTCAGGTGGAGATCTGAAGCATTAACTGTTGCTCTCCAGAGATGCTGGCTGATTGCCTGAAATACACAAATCATTCATTAACGATTTCCAACATCTGCAGCATTTTTGCTTTTGCAATCAAGTAAGACGTGTGTGCCAAGTTTAGAGTGATACAGACTAGGAAGGCAGCCAATTTGGATCCCATGCTATGTTGAGTGACCTGTGCCAGGTACATATTTACATAAGTGACATTTGATGAAAGTTTGCATTAGGGAACACAAAACAGATTTCAGTTGTCGAGACCAATGCAGGTGGCCAGCTGAGATTTCCTGTCAAATACAAGAATGGCCACTTTATGGAGAGTCTGGCATGGGAGGGTGAAGCATAATTCAATAAGGAATCAACACCTTGCTCTGCACAAAATAACCCAGTTATAAAATCCACAGCATTGTCAGTTTTAAGTAAAATTGGACGAAGTGAATGTGTACCGTTGAAAAATTACAGAGGAAGTTGAACTTGGAAGGAACCAATGCATTTCTAACTGTTGTATTTGTCAATGATAAACATTTATAAAAGATGAGTTCTGAAGTTACTTACTGCAATAAAGTCACCCTTCAGCCAGTTATCATCCTCAATAGCGTCATAGACACTCATTTCCTTTCCTTTAACTTTGACAGTAGCATGAGTAACATCTGGATATTGAGTTGAAGAATGATTGCCCCAGATGATAACATTCTTCACATCACCAGATGGCACTCCCAATTTGAATGCAATCTAAATGCAAAGCTTAATTTGTATTAAATTCAGTTAAAGAGAAGAAACAGAATTTACTTAAATAAACAAAGATAAAATATGTTGCAATCTTTCAAAATATTGACCACACTGTTTATTTGGTCTGAAGTCAATCTCAGATTGATAGATTCATACCGCACAGAAAGGCCTCTCAGCCCATTGAGTCTGCACCAACATAACTCCCACTAAAAGTCCACTAATCCCATATCCATTAATATTACGATATTTGAAGTGCTCACTTAAATATTTTAAAGTTAAGGTTTTGGTTTCCAGCCTCCACTACCTTCCCAGGCAATGCATTCCAGATTCCCACCATCCTGATTGAAATGGTCTTTCACCCCCCACCACCCTCACCCCCACCCAAATCCTCTGCTCCTTACCCTAAAACTATGCCCTCTAGTAATTGACCCCTCAACCAAGGGTAACAACTGTTCTCTATTACCCTGTCCATACCCCTCAAATCATGTCCCCACCCCCCCAGTCTTCTCTGCTCTATAGAAAACAATCCAAGCCTATCTAGTCTGTCTTCATTGCTCAATTTCTCCATCCCAGGCAACATCCTGGTGAATCTCCCAAATGCCTTAACTATCCTATTCATATACTCTGACTTCAGGGATCTGAATAATTACTCCAAGATCCCTGAGCTACCATGTCCTGCCATTCATTAAATACTACCTCATCTTGTTTCTTCTTTCAAATTAGATCACTTCACATTTATCAGAATCAAATACCGTTTGCTACTGGTTTGCCCATCTGACCATCCCATCAACACTTTACCGTAACCTACAACCAGCTTCTTTGCCATCTCTGTCCACTTTTTTTGTAAATCTATAAACTGTTCTACTAGAACCAACATTCAAATTGTTAACATCTAGGACATTTCCTCAGTTTCAAAATGACAACCAACTTTGTGCCTAATTAAAAGACAGTGAGGTTTTGCCTTTGTCCATATAATCAGAAACCTTGCCAAATCTTAAAAGCAGGAGCGTAGAGAACTGAATATTGGCAAGTTATAAAAAGTGCAGAGACACCCCCCACCCACCCTAAATGGAGCTCTCCAAAAAGCTGCACTTAAAGCAGTATTTAGACATACCTGAGCTTTTGCTCGGTTATGATCCAAGCGAGTCAGGCAAGAGAAGTTCTCTTTCGGAATTGATGGGGCACACTTGATTGCAGTCAGACAATTGGTATTGGCTGGGTTGCCCACAACAAGAACCTGCAACAAATAGTTTGTTTTATTAGAACTGTACAAGTAAAAGAATTCAGTAAGATCAGGCAGCAGAATAGGAGGAAAGTCGATGTTTCAGATTGGGACCCTTCATCAGTCTTGATGAAGGGTCCCAACCTGAAACATCAAGTTTCCTGCTCCTCTGATGCTGCCTAAGCTGCTGTGTTCCTCCAGCTCCACTTTGTAATGACTGACTCCAGCATCTGCAGTTCTTGCTATCTCCAAAAGAATCCAGCAATATAGGCAGTAACCATAGGATTAGTTTCATCAGGTCAAACGTGACAGATATTGTGGATTTAGGCAAAATGAGGAGTGGAGGACTTGCAAAGAATCATTTAATCTGCAGTCAAAATTTTTACTTGTAAACAGTTCTAAGTTTGTGTTTTGCAGAACTCTACTACCTTGCCTGTAAGGTCAGAAGTCACACGACACCCGGTTATAGTCCAACAGGTTTATTTGAAATCACAAGCTTTCGGACTGGTGTCGTGTGACTTCTGACCTTGTCCAACACCAGTATCTCCACATGGCAACCTTGCCTACAGCTTGACCTACATCAAGTAGCAGCGCTATAACAACTCAATCAAAAAGTTGACCATATGTCCAAGCCATTATCCTTTAGAATATCATGGTCAATCAAGTTAATCAATCCCATACAAAGAAAGCGAACCAACTCCTAGTATAAAGAGTACAGTTGTGGGCTGTTTCCTTCAGAAATAAAAACATGCTGTCAAACAGTTTATATTTAATGGATGTCAGTTTTTCTTCAATAGTATTTTAGAACTATTTCTTTAGGATTGTTCAAAGGCATGAAATTGTAATACATCAGTGTACTTAAAGGTAGAATAAAACTTAAGAATTTTGCACTAACATTGTAAAGGGAACAGGATCAGAATTATCAGCAAAGTACAATGGGAGTTAATAGGGAAACAAATTAACAAATTCCTGGCTTATGAAAGCAGAGGGTTAACCAGAATGAACATCAAGAGTGCAAGTTTTCAGTGTCAAGTGCAGCCTTAAACAAAATCTGCATGACCAGAATAAGTGACACTGAATTTGAAAATGTGTGCAAGTAGTTTGTAACTGGATTTACAGGACTCTGAATAGAGTTGCATGTTATCTATGGAGTTTTTGCTTGTGTTTCATGCTAACCACCCATTCTCAGAATGGAGACCATTTCACAAGTTCAGGGAAGCCCCAAAGTGAGTGATATCTCATAACCTCCAGCTATCCAACTACCTCTCTATGTAGATATGAGCACTACCCCTAGGAACCACAAGATCCCTTACAATCTTTGCAACAACTCCAGACTCACTGTGTGGCTGGTATCTTGTTCAGACTAACAACAGCACTGTGCAAAAAGAAACTCCTAACATTTGACATATGCATTTTTTTTGTAACTTGTGCAAGTCTTTCCCAATTCCCACTCATCTACTTAGCTCAAACATCTTTGCTGCTATGATCAAGTCCAATCCTTTATTACTTTGAAGCTATTAAATCTCTACAAAATCTTCATAATTCTAAAATTAAACAAGAGCAGTCATCTAGCGCTTCATCTCCTTCGATATGGCCTTTAAACCTCAGCTCTTTGACTAGCTGTCGGTCACTTTCCTAATATTGCTACGTGCCTCAAGGGAGTTTTATTTGATAACTTCACTTAAAGTTCTTTCAGGTGTTTCCAGAGGGTGCCCAATGGCGTAGCCAAACTGTTGTAATGTTAGTAACTAAAGGCCCTTAAGAATAAACATATTGGCCCAGTTGAGCTTTGTGTAAAGATTGGACACCCCCCCAAATGAGGTGAATGAAAATTCAGTATTTTAAGTGCCACCTAATAAATGTTTTTGTAAGTGTAACTCTTCTGGAAATTCAGTGGTATTTTCAAAGTCTTGCTGTACTAGGCATATGTTAACAATGTCCATTTCCTACGCAGCAGCCTTGAACAACCAACTTCTATGGTGTATTGATGCCAGGTGTATCCCTATTTAATAAGGGGCATTTGACAGATTTCGATATGTTCACTTAAAAATTAAGTGGTCTCAATATGTTAGAAGGGGCTGACAGGTGGTTTACCAAATTAGTACCTTGGGCAAGATCATCTTATGACGCAAGTATGGAGTTCAGAAGAGTGGGGGCTGATCTGAATGAAATTTATAAAATCATGAATGGACTTGACAATGTGGATGAGGGAAAAGAAAATGACAGAATACTGTTTGAAGATAAGGGTCACCCCTTTAAGATAAATGAGGAATTTTTATTCTTGACGGTCGAGAGATTTTGAAACTCTCCACTGCAGGAGGAGGAGATAGGGTCACTGCATATTTTTAAAGGCAGAGGTAGATTGATTTCCCTGCCTAACAAGAATCTGAAGCTCATGGAGGTAGATAGGAATGTGGAATTTGGAACACAAAGATCAGCAAAAATCTTATTGAATGACAGAAGGCTTGAATGGCCGAATAGCCTACTTCTGCTCCTAATTTAGACGTTCATATTACTGAGCAGTTCTATTTGATGCACACTTTATTCTCTTTTTTAGGTCTATCATATTACATAGTAATAAACTGTATCTGTCAATGACAGCACCTTTTAACCCCATCGTTCCTAACCAAGGAAGCATCTAAACAGAAAAGCACTTAATATTTCACAAAAATGACCCAACAGTTCTAATGAAAGGTCACTAACATGAAGTGTTCACTGTTCCTCTCTACAGCATTTTCAGTTTGTATTTTAGAATTCCAATAATCAAGTGTTTTGGAACCTGATAAATTATTTGTCTCATTAATTTATCTTTTCCTAAAATAAACTTGGCATATTTTGTTTCCAATCATCATTCGACTGATTCATTTCAAACATAGGTCAAGTCCCAAAAGTGATCCATGGAGTACCACTCTGAATCTCATTCTAGCCTGTAAGTCTTCAATCTAACAGGCCTTTTAAGCCAATTGTGTGTCCTTTGCTATCATTTAGCCCATTTTCATGTTTTTTTTAAATAAACAAACAAAGTCTTTCCTCTAAGAACCGTCAGGAGAATCCAAGTATATAACATTAAACTTTAAATAAGGTCTCTCCTCCTTACAAATATTATTCAAATACAGAAGTAAAGTATAGTGGCTGCTGTATCTGAAATAAAATCAAACTTTCTCATGAAAGGTCATTAGCCTGAAATGCTAGCTTAGTTCCGCTCTCCAGAGATGATGCCAGACTGGCTCAGTAGTTCTAGCATTTCTTTCTACTTTCCCCAATGGTCATCCACTGGACCCCTGTATTAATCCTATACCATCCACTGGATTCCTGTATTAACTTGATTTTTCAAACAGTTGGTGAGGTTTATAACTTGGAATTTTTGTTTAACTAGCATTCTTAGCCACTTCCTGTTCCTTAGGAACCTCTCCTCTATTTGGGAAGAATAAGAAGAAAATGGTGAAAATTTATAAATCCAAATCGAATACATGGTTGCACATTCAGTATGAAGATTTGACATTTAAATAAATACTAAGGCTTTGTCACCTTGACTGACTTCTTGGCAAGTTTGTCCAATGCGTATCCCTGGGTTTTGAATATCTTGGCATTAGCTTGGAGCAGGTCCTTCCGTTCCATGCCCTCCCGTCTTGGCATAGAGCCCACCAGAATTGCCACATCAATGTCCTTGAAAGCTTCATCTTCTTTGTCAGTTGCAATGACCCCTGCAAGGATCATACAGAGTAAGAGCAATGTGATTGCTCATCACGCAGTGAGTTAAATCCCTGGAACCTCCCACTTAACAACATCGTAGATGTCCCTGTGTGTCTGCAGTGGTTCAAAGTAGCAACTCAACGCCACCACTACCAGGGCAATTAGGCACAGGCAATGAATGCTGGTTTAGCTCTTGACACCCCACCTTCCAGAAATTAATTTTTAAAAATGCACTCCTAACATGTTATTAAGCTTCTTGAAGCAGAATTTCAATGTATAATTCCAGGTTGGTTTGGTTCGAGTTGAGGCACCATGGAAAATATAGAAAATAGAAGTGCCGCATGGCCTATTTCTTTCAGGCCGCTGTACCATTCAAGTGTGATCATGGCTGACAATCAGTAGCAACAACTAACCTCAGGCCACTAGGGCCAGGGCAAGGGAAAAGTAAGTCTGGCTTCCAACTCAGACTGCCTACCAATGGCAGCATCAAGATGAGGTTTTTGTATGTGTCCAAATCATCTACTAATACTTACCGAAAATCAAAAAAGAATATTGACCAAACACAGTCAGTGGTGTGTCATGAGTCACAAAAAAAGGGAAAATCCACTGAGAAATTTAACAGTAAAATCCACAGCTTTGATTCAGATAGTCTGCAAAATAGGTTTAGTGATGCAAGGCAGATGCCTTCTGACTAATAGTTACAATTATTCCTAAGCTTGAACAGTCCTTTTTCCAACAAGCAGTTCCAGATTGGTAACGTCAAAGAAAACATGTCATTTTTATTTATTTGTGCCAAGTGCCAAAAATCAACAAAAGCTGTGCATCAAATCTACCTCTTAACCAATAGTTGAGGAGTACTGATGTGCAATGAATACCGATCAAGCAATCACATCTGACCTTGTGTTGAGATCCATAAACATTGCACAGGAGCAATTCCAATGAGTTACAAAATAGCCCAGTAGATCTATAACCAGAATTCAATTCCCAGTTGCAGAATGTGTGTTTAAAATTGTAGCTCTTACTGACTTTCCATTCAGCAAATTTTCAACTGAGCTGAAATCTATGGAATTGTCAACACGATGGAGGCTCAGATGAAACATGCATTACACCAAATATGCATTATACCAACAGTTAAACAAGTTCCTTCGAGTAGAAAAAGGAAAAAAAAAAGCATAAACAAGACAGAACTTCAATTGGAAACTAACATCCAGTTTAGCTACTTACCATGGACCAGTGGAAGAGCACAATCCTGGATTTCCATCACAACACCATCCAGCACAGACATCATTGGTGCAATATCAAGTAGCACGAGGATGAGGGGCTTTGGGAATTATATTAAAACATAGTTCAGTACTGCAGTACAGGGACCCTTTGTCACTCCACAATATCCAGTTACACTTTAGAAGAATTGATAATTTTACTTGGAGACAATACTTTGGTATTTTTCAATGAGGATTCATGATCCACACATTGTGTCAAGGTAAACCTTTGAAGATAAGACAATTTCATAGCCGGTATTTCCAATTCTCATCCATTGCTATCAGCATTAAACGTAGCAATCCATTAGTTGGTGCAATTAGTTATTGCCCCTGATGAGGGTATGAATCAAATTTATAGTTTTGCCTTCCCATTAGGGGAGAAAACCACAACTGTGTCTGGTGAGAAAGTGGTTAACTGAATAGTAGAATGCCAGCAGCAGATACATGTTCAAGGAACCCGAGTGTTATGGAAACTAGCAACCTGTCTGAGTCAATTTGCTTTATCGGATTACTTTTTTTCCTCCTCCTATTGCCAAGCAGTTTTTAAAAAAAAAATATATATATAAAACATATGAACACAGTGCTGCTAGAGTCATACAGCATGGAAAAAGACCCTTTAGTCCATTCATCCATGCTAACCAAGTTTCCCCAAACTAAACTAGTTATTGTAACACCCCACTGTTTTAAAAAAACAAAAGGAGAAGACTAATTGTTTACTCAGCTGTTTATATATATTTTTTAAATATGGTAAACATTACCTGATCATTTCCGAAAACATCCCCCTTTGCAATGTTGTAGATAAGTGAATAGGCAATCTGACCAGCAGCACCAGTCACAAGAACTTTAATAGGCTCTGCCTGGAGAGAGAATGAACAAGGGGGAGCATTGGATGATTCAGAGACACATTAAAAAATTTTGTAATTTTTAAACATTTAGCCTATCCAGTAGGAACCTACTGCAGGCTCCACCCCAGCATCCATTTCAGATAAACAGGCTATACATTAAGCTTCAATATTAGAGGCCTGACTTTATCCAAAAGCACAAAATGTTTACGAATTACTTCAATTTAAAGGAAGAAATCCTTGCGTAATTAACGATAACACAGTAGGCCAAGCGGCATCAGAGGAGCAGGAAAGTTGACATTTTGGGTCAGGACTTCTTCCCTCCTTGAGTAATTAAACTCATCTTCAGTATGCAAATCTGTATTAGAATGAATTTTTTTGTGTAGCCATGTACATAAGAGGATTAAAGCTAACATGAAAGCTTGACTAATTAGCTTTGAAAACATTTGGTATTCAGACTAACTAGTGAAATTAATTTCTATGAAAAATCAATCATTTTTAGGACCTTGAAACAAAGTTGCAATGTGTAAAGATGGAATGACGTAAAGATCACATTCTTGTAACTAAGGAAACAGATGGCCTCACATACAACAGTGTACATTTTTCTTATTAGCATTCCAGCAGCAACATTGTCCAAGGTCATTTGGTAGACAGAGGTCAGGCTACTTTCCCATCCACCACCACAGCCCCACATATGAAAATCTCAATTGGTTGGTATTCAGTGTCAATTCTGTGCGGTGAGATATTTGGTCAGACAAATATTTCCACAGTCAAATAGCTGGAGGACATTCATCAATATACCTTGGTGAACGTTAAGGGATGGAAAGATGTGCTGTTGTTTCAGCACAGGCTCCTGCCAGATCATGAAGTGTCTTATTGCACTCTTACTACGTTTCCTTCTATTTCAAAGCTTGGTTTTTCCCAAATTATTCACAGAGTATGTTTTTTGGCTATTTTGTACTGCATGTGTAAAAACATTAACCTTGCTGATTAAACAATTCATTCTGTAGGTTAGGAGCTGCCATCTTCATCTCACTGTCCATATATTTTATCTGGAAATAAGACCAAATTGCAGCAAGTTCCTAGTTATTTCTGTAAATTTTAACCAGTTGTGTTTTGAGCATGAAGACTTCGTGCACCTTGATGGTGACATCAACTTTGATAAAAGAACCACAATAGCCACATGAAAGGAACAAGTCTCAAGATCATTATGCTTCCATTTCTACCACAACTTCATAAAGTTCAGAAGGAATCTTCCATCAAAAGCAAGCTATACAGATAATCAGAAATCATTTTATCCACGCCTCAGTTTCATTGTCTGAACTTCAAAATAATTATAACCAGTTGCAGTTAGAGTCAAGATACAAATCTGACCTTGATCGCTTTGCTAACTAAACTGACATGCCATTTAGAGTCAGCTGTACAGCATGAAAACAGACCCTTCGGTCCAACTTGTCCATGCCGACCAGATATGCTAAATTAATCTGGTCCCATTTACCAGCATTTGGCCCATATCCCTCTAAACCCTTCTTATTCATGTAACCATCCAGATGCCTTTAAAGTGTCGTAATTGTACCAGCCTCTGACTTCCCCTTGCAGTTCATTCCATACACGCACCACCCTGTGTGAAAAGGTTGCCCTTAGGTCCATTTTAAATCGTTCCCCTCACCTTAAGCCTGTGGCCTATAGTTTTGGACACCCCCACCCCAGGGAGATGACCTTGGCTATTCACCCTATCCATGCCCACTATGATTTTATAAACCTCCAAGATCACCAGTCTCCAACACTCCAGGGAAAATAGCCCCAGCCTATTCAGCCTCACCCGATAGCTCAAACTCTCAAACCCTGGCTACATCCTTGTAAAATCTTCTCTGAGCCCTTTCAAGTTTCACAACATCCTTCCTATAGTAGGGAGGCCAGAATCGCACAGTATTCCAAAGTGGCCTAACTAACATCCTTTGCTTCCTCCTTCACACTAACTTCTCTAAATATCAAGTTCTGTCCTAATGAAAAGTCTCTTATTAAGCCTATTGCCCCCATTTATAACACTTCCTTTCTCAATACAGGGAAAACTTCCATTTAATATATGTTCTACTGTTACATACACATTCATGACTCTTTAACCATCCATTTTTCCATCATTACAGATACATTCTCAAAACCAGCTGTCTAAAAGAAAACTCTGGAAATTGGTCAAATTTAATATATACTGGGCATCATGCTTTCAAGTTATTTCCAATTAAAATTAACTTAGATGGGCAATTCAGCAGGGTTTTAAATGGCACTGGACTTGTCACCTGATTCACCAGTTACACACCAGACTATTCTCAAGCATAAATAAAATTTGACTCCCACCTGCCCTAAACTTGACTGTATAAACTACTCACCAAAATCAGGCAAAATCACCTTGTTCTCAGACCTGTCAGGTGTGAGAGGACCTGATTTCATTCCTATTCATCTGACATTAATACTACTAATACACCCTTGGAGGTAAATATTGTGCAACATCACATACTGAACCTGATTCTCAACTGAAGGAAATAGTACAAATTAAACATAAACAACTTGGTGAAAGGTCAGAAAACCCATTACCCAATGTATTTTTAGTTTGGTGCTTTAGAGACAGAGGGAGCTATTTCTAAATTAGTGAGCTGCCGTCAGTTAATGTCCACCTATCACAGTGGCTTAGATATCTAGCTAAAGTTAATAAAAGGCTAAGGATTTACAATGAAGAAATAACAAAAACCGATGCTGTAATTCAGAGACAAAAACAGAAGTTGCTGGACAATCTCAGCAGGTCCGGTGACCCTTCCTCAGAATTGCTGCCTGACTTGCTGAGCTTTTCCAGCAACTTCTGCTTGCGTTCGAAAGACAAACCAGGTCCCAATCACTCTGGGAAGAATTACACAATATACAACAACAAGTGAGAGACTAATCATCCTACAGCAAACAAGAATTGAGGTACCAACCATTGAAGTATTGAAGTACCAACCATTGAAGACTGGGATACTGACCGTAAAACAGTGAGGGAGCTTCTGAGATGCATGTACAGCAGTGAAAGAGTTCTGAGGTGTATATAAAACATTCAAAGAAACACCGACCGTTCTGCGATATATATAACAGATAAGGGAAGATACTGACCATTTTACTGCTCCAGGGTCACCTTCCGTGCCGCCACTCGTCCGCCAAATGCTGGAGGACAGTCACATGACCCCACCACGTCAACCGCCCTTCTGCGCGTTGCGCTCTGGGGGATATAGTTTTATTTCCCGCAGAAACAGCGCTAACCTCCGGGTATCGTCGAGGCAATCGGACCACAATGTCCAGCATGCATCACGCCGCACGGCCGTCTCACTCTCAGCATCCTTCCGTCATGTGCACATCCGGTCATGGAGTACAAATAGTGCAGATGCTGGATTGGACGTCTCCATCACTTGCAAGGAGTAAAAACAATTGACGTTGATATGAATCAGTTTTTTCTCTTTGTTATAATAGTGCATTTGTACTTCGCGGACGGCTAGCCGTCTTCACAAGGTGCTCGTGCTTTATATAATAGGCGGACGAATTATAGACAGTCTGGGGAAACGTGTGTTTCCGGTTGTTCCGGAAGGGATGAGCTGAGCGGTTGCTAGGAGACGGAGAGGAGCGCGGATGTGAGAGGTAAAGTTCTCCTGGAGAAAGGGCTGGTACTGATCAGGAAGATGTGCTGATGGAGGCTGTGTTTCTGCTCTGTGCCTGGAACATGGTAGTGGGGTAGGTCCCTGCAGGCAGAGAGTTGTCAGCCATGGGTCTGGTATCTGCAGCCGGGTGAGGGATAGGGGGTGAACAGAACTTCCTAACCCTTTCTTTTCCCCGCCCCTCTCAAGGCAGTAGTTAATATGCTCTCAGGTCCTCTGGCATGTCGCTGCGACCCATGGGGAACTTGGCGATGGGCTGCTTGACCCAGTCAGCGCCTGAGCAACTGCCTGGTCATGGTATCCGGGGGACCCACCTTCCCCAAAATAGAATATCGGTCATGATCTGAAACTGTTGAATCCATTACTTAGTACAGGAGGTTGTTGAGTGCATAATTGAAACTTGAGGTTCTGTCCGTGATATGCACTTATGGTTTTCTACCACTATTAATCATCCTGTTCTGTTATCCTGATGTAATTGTGTAAGGTATGATTTGTCTGGTTTGCATGCAAGAGAGTACTTTTCACTGTATCTTGGTACACGTGATGATGATAATAAACCAAACCAAATAAAATCCCAGTTTTTTTCAAGAGAAAAGTTATTGCTGTGGAAATCATGAGCAACACAGCCTTCCAACTTAATAATGCTGGGGTTCAATTGGCTAGTAAAACTCTTGTTGGAAATCTGACCATGTTGTTTCCAAATGCGAATGTTGATGTGTTAAAGGAATAAATTGAAGTCCTCAATTGGAGGCAACTATGTTTTTTTTTAAAAAAAAGTCATTTTCTGGATGTTGATGCTTAATACAGGAAGCAATGTTTGAAACTAGTGCTAACTCTAGTAGCACTGGTGTTGAAAAACAATTATTCTGGGCCTTATTAGAATTGATGATCAGAGGATTAGATAGGGTGGACAGTGGGAGCCTTTTTCCTCGGATGGTGATGGCTAGCACGAGGGGACATAGCTTTAAATTGAGGGGTGATAGATATAGGACAGATGTCAGAGGTAGGTTCCTTACTCTGAGTAGTAAGGGTGTGGAATGCCCTGCCTGCAAAAGTAGTAGACTCTCCAACTTTAAGGGCATTTAAATGGTCATTGGATAAACATATGGATGATAATGGAATAGTGTAGGTTAGATGGGCTTCAGATTGGTTTCACAGGTTGGCACAACATCGAGGGCTGAAGGGCCTGTACTGCGCTGTTATGTTCTATGTTGTATGATGCACAGAACGCACAACTTGCAGTTTATTACAAATTCACATTTCTTGTTAAAGCAGTTAATGAATGAAGCCTCATCCTAACTCCTTAAATCATTCCTATAAATCCCAGTGAAGAGTTTTGCAATTTTGTGTATTTTCAGAGTTTGTGTTTTTATTGTGTTGTTCTTGCATTCTACTATAATGTCCTAGACATTATGATAGAATGCAAGAACAGTGGGGAACTCCAGACTAGAAAGACCACCCGTATGGACCAGATACTTAATTACACCAGCAACCACCCCAACACCCATAGATGGAGTTGCATCAGGACATTATTCAAATGGGCCACAACACATTGCAGCAATCTGGAATTGCACAAGGCAGAACAGGGAGCACTTGTATGGAGTTTTTAAAAGGAATGGATACCCAAAAAGCACAATTCTCCGCGACAGGCCGCAACAACCATACACAACACGGCCAGCCGCACTAGTTACCCCACCATGCATTAGAGACATATCAGACGTGACCATAAGACTACTCAGACCCCTAGGTATCCGGATAGCCCACGAACCAGCAACCACCCTGCGACAGCTACTGACGAACGTAAAAGATTCCATACCCGCAACCAATAAAATTAATATAATCTACAAAATACCACACAAGGACTGTGGAAAAACATTACATAGGCCAAACTGAAGAAAACTGACAATAAGGATACACGGACACCAACTAGCCACCTAGAGACATGACCAATTCTCACTGGTCTCAATACACATGGACAAAGAAGAACACAAATTTGTTTGGGACAACACATCCATGATAGCATAAGCCAAACAGAGACAAGCCAGGGAACTTCTGGAGGCCTGGCATTCCAACTGGAACTCCATCAACAAACACATTGAACTGGACCTGATATACAAACCACTGAAAAACAGAACTGGAAGTGATGCCAACCATCCCAGCAAACTGAGGCATATAAATAACAAGTGGGATAGAACACCAATGCTTCACTGGCAGCGCACTGACAATGCTATCTAGCAGGGTGATGAAATGTCTACAACCAAACACACTGGCTCGGCGAACAAGTCTACATCCTCCTCTGCAACCTGAGCTATAAATCTTCTGTAAAACTTTAAGCACTTTTGGGACTAGATTTATACAGCATATCTGTTCAGCATGGATGAGTTGGATCAAAGGGTCTGTTTCCGTGCTTGTATATCTCTATGACTCTATACCTCTATATATGTCAGCTATGATCCTGTCCTCTTGCTGCCTCAATCAGTTGCTGACTCAGCAAAAGTGTGGCCAGCATAAGTTATGGAGTTCCAGTGTTAACTAATTTAGGAAGAGCATCTAGTGCACTATGTTTAGATACAGAAGTCAATTGCATTCAATGGCTGACTGCATTTTGAAAGTTCAGAGCAAGTGGCTATGAAAGTAATTTCATGTAGCAAATGGCTACAATTTTACAGTATGTAGTTCAATGTGCAACTGATCACATCATAAATTAGTTTTCTTGTTTTGAAACTGGATCTGAAAAAATGGATTTCACATATGTCTTTGTATGTAGTAAGGCATCTTTTTAGAATGAATTCTGAAGACTTTGTGTATGTTTAAAGGGTTAAAGTAAAACACAAAGCATCTCTGATCTGTTGTTTAGAAGAGGTATTTTAATGGATGCTGAAGATAATTTGACTGGTTTATAAAGGACTGTGAAATACCTTTTGACTATGAAAAAAAATCCAAAAATAATTCTGCTCCATTTGACTTTATCCATGTTTTTATTTGTGTAAAAACTATTAATGGCAATGCAAAATCTGTAATAAAATCAACAAGTTACAGATATTTATTGTACATTTTACTCTCCTATTTTCTTAGTTTTCATAACAGATGCTTTCAAAAGTTACAAAGCTACAAAGGTTAGCATACAGAGGGTGTTAAGTCTTAGAGCATAGCCAATGAGCTTTTGTTAATTTTGTACTGTATATGTCACTGCAGGACTAAACAAAATAATTATTTTTCTAGTGCTTGTTAGGCAAGTAAAATACAGGATTTAAAGGTTTTCTTTTTTAAAAGACTAAATTGGCATATTTTATAAAACAGAAATTCTGGAAATACACAACAGTTCCATAACTTCAAAAGAGAAAAGATTAGTTAACATAGAAATCTTTTTGTTAGAACTGTATCAACACGTTTGATACATTGTAGAGTTGAATAGATGTATATTGAAATATTGCAAGAGTATTATAATAACTTAATAACAGCATAGGGCAGGAAGCCAGTAGGTAAAATCCCTCTTGATAATTAACAATGGAGCAGTATATTGGTAGTTTAAGTTGTGTACCTAGTCTCCTTGGAAATTGTGTTGTGCAAAGAAAAGAAAAGAAAATAGTAACAAGGCATTGAGATGAAAAATAAGCAGTGAACTGCAGGATGATGTAGTGCTTGATGTTCTAGGCCTGAACTTTTTCTGTTTGATCATTTAACAATTTTCAGTCTGGCCTTTTAGTTTTGACAGCCTATATTTTGACTAAAACAATACGAAAATCCTTTCATTATTGTTTTGTCTTGAAAGAATATGCAGTCTATCCATTTTTTTTATTGGTTGATACTGGGTCATTACATTAATGGTCCAAAATAGCTGCAGGTAGTTTTTCATCTCCTGGAGTTATAAAATCCTTGGGAAATAGGACTGTGCCTGTTGCTTTTGACCAGGAAAAATTGTTGGAATTTTCACCTGGTATCAATGTATGGAACCATAATAATAAAATAGAATTGTTATTTATGTCATATTCCTACCTTACCATCTGTCTTAGTGGCACAGTGATTAGACACAAGTTCACAGTTGTAGACATCCTACCTCCTCATTATGGATTGGGTACTAGAATCATAGCTTCAAGACAATGTCCCAAACCCACCATCATCATCCCTGGATATGATCAGAGCCATTGGCATGATAGACGCACCAGAGGTGGCAACACAGTGACATACAGTCAGGAGGGAGTTTCCCTAAGAGCCATCAATGTTGACTCCAATCTTCATGAAGTCTCAAGTCATCCGGTCAACCACAGATAAGGAAACCTGCTGATTTAGCACCGGCACTCCTCCCTCCCCCAAACTGAAAAGTCAGTACTCTTCAATTTTTAATACCATTTGGAACAAGCATTGAGGCTGATGAGGGCACAGAATGTACTCTGGATTGGCACTTTCACTCTGCTAACTGGGATGGATTTAGAACAGATTGAGAAAGTCAAAACTCAGCATCTATGAGGTACTGGAGACCATCAGCAGCAGAAATGCATTCAACCACAATCTACCTTCATGGCATGGCATCACCTCCATTCTACCATTGCCATCAAGATGGAGGATTAATCCTGTTTAATGAAGAGTGGAGGAGGGCATGCCAGGAGCAGCACTAGGCATATGTAAAAAAAATTAGTGAATGTCACCTGGTCAGTTAGAGCACTGAAATATTTACATGCTAAACAGCAAAGGCAACAGACAATAGAGAGGACTGATTCTGCAAGAAACCGTTCAAATCTTGGCACTGCAATCCTGCCACATCTGGCCATAAATAGTTGTGGACAATTAAACAAAATAACAGGCATGTGGACAATTAAACAAAATAACAGGAGGTGGAGGCTGTACAAATATCCTTATCCACAATGATGGGTGAGCCCAGGACATTAGAGAAAAAAGCAGGGTTGTAACATTTCAGCACCTTCGGTGAGATGTGCCATGTAGATGATCCATTTGAGACTCTTCATGAGATCCCTAGCATTACAT